CTTAACTTAACGAGTTTAAATTTTATCATCTTTTTGTATCAATTAGACTTTATACATTTTGTAATTGTATTTTAATATCTAATGTTTTATAAGCATAAATAAATGCACATAAATTTACATAGTATCCCTTTTTAATACACGATAGTTTTGTAGTATTGAGACAACAGGAAAGTTAGAAAATATTTTGTTTATTTTACCCGGTTTCCTTTCCAGGGCTTACACTTTTGACCCTTTTGGGAGAAGAATGGGACTACTTTTACAGAGAAATATTACCGGTATTACATGCACTTCTGAACCCAGTTGAAGTATGCATACTGATAAATACTTTTGTTAAGTTAATAAGAGCGTACAGCTTTGTATTTTGTACTTAATACATAATAAAATGACAGCCTTTTAGCGTTGATAATTTAAGACACCAATGTTAATTATTTCAATATACCTTGCCAACATTCATAATTACATAAAATGTAAGAAATGACATGTTTCTTGGACGTTATTTGCAAAAACCATTAGTAGACATCAATTTAATATAACCGTTCTTTTTATTTCAGACCAAAACGTATACAATAAAACAAGTGTCTTTATTAGAGTTTAGAAACACAGTTCTTCTTAAGCTACCAATAAAGGGTAAAGTTTCAGTTTCGTCTATTATATTAAGATATGAGTATAAGTAGGAGCGTAAATATAATTTCCATATTTTTCTTTGTATCAACAGCCTCTTTTACAAGTAATTTTAAAGCATCTTTTCTAACTATCTTACATGTTTTCCTTCTTTTAGATACCTTGCCTTACTTATCGCATTCAGACCCAGTTTGTGCAATCATAAAACAGATGTTGTTAGTTTTGCACGGAGTTCACGAGAATCCATACACGCTTAACTACATCGCGTTGGAAAAACTAGTCGCTAGAGTGAGCTCCCCTCATTTAGGCGTTTTGGGACTATATTATGGTGGAAGTGAACCTATATTGAAGAGTAATTATAGAGGAGTAACAAGACTTCCGATACCGGTGATACGTGAGTATATTAAAGTTCCATTCACAATGGCTATATTAACAGATGCTTCGCAAGAAAATAAACAACAATACTCTTTTAATTTATTTGGACCAGGTACCCTTGTCCCTTTCTTATAAGTGTTATTACATTAAGATAACTTTTATTTAAAGCTTTATTACAAAATGTTTTACATATAACTCTTTGTTCGCAATACTGCCAAAGACATTTCATAAGAATTTTGTTGAATTATTCACTTATACTTTTTCTCTCTTTTTGGTGTCAGATATACAAATTTCAAAAATATGTTTTGGAAATTTTTCTTATTGCACCAGCATTAATTATGATTATTATTTTGTTACCTATGTTTAGAAATATCAAACGACACGCACGATTCAGACGACAAAATAACATTAGCTGAGGACCAAGAAACAAGAACGGTTACCTCACAACAATCAAAGCGTTTACTTCATAATCGTAGTTCTGGATTTCTACAACAAACGCTGTTATCAGCAGTAAATGAACAGGACAGAGGTCAAATCCGGCGAAACAGTATAGCCACTACATGACAGCTTATCAACTTACGAAATACAGCAATTTTAAACAATTAACAATGTCCTCAGAAAACCAATAGTATTTGGAGTTAGTCTGGTTCAAAGAAGATGACAAAAAAAATCCAAAAACAAAATCTTGTTATACGAATATCGTTATCATATGGTATGAATCCTATCATGTTTGAACCATTTTTAGTGTCAAATATAAATGAGAAAGCGAAGGCATTAAAGTACAATGAGGGATATCTTACATGCAGTTATTACATGGAATATACTGTACCTACAAATTCAATGAAAGGTGATAAAGATCCGACTGTCATAGACACGTTCAATATTGTAGCGGGTGATAAAATTCCAAAGTATCATGTATGAATGTTCACCTAAAATTATGAATGTTCTCATAAAACTATCAATGTTCACAATAAAGGTATTTACTTTGATGATAGTCATCAAGGACTGACAGTAGATCAAAAGATAAAAGAGTAACATATCACCTTTGAATGAGAGAACTGGAAGACATGAAATTAACCACTGAAGAATTCAAACCTTCATTTGCACCAAAGAATCAACTCATACAACATATGTACTGAATGATTTTGCAGAACACAGTAAATGAAAAACATTGACAAATTTAAAGCAACGCACAACAGCGAAACAAAAGAGAATAAAAACATTTGTCCAACATTGCTTATGATTGAGTTATGCGTCTGAATTATCCAACAGGAAATCATATAGTTTAATATTGATAATCCTGTACATGAAATATGTTTATATCTGATTCGTTACAACTTTTAATATTTTATTTTTTACAGAGTCAAATTTACGGCTATAAAGTATACTTCCGTTAGAAATGCTGTTTCACTCTTATTAAAAAGGCATATTCGCTGGCTACGTTTATTCGAAAATGTTTTCCATAGAAAAATATTCAATTTGTTTATTTTATACAAGAAATTGGAATAAATGTGCTTGCTTGTCTTGGAATTTATAATTTGCCTTTGTTGCAAAGGCACAATTTGAGGTTAAATAAGTGGAGGGTTGACTGCAAAACTACTGTAAATTATATGAAACAAAGAAGGACTTACAAAAGTTTTGCGGTCCACGCTCAATATTTATACGACATAATAAATAATTTACAATACCAAAAAAATAGAAAAATAATAACAATGAAATAGGAGGAATGTTTGTTTAATCTGTAGAAACAGTATTTTATTGGTACAGACTGAATTCTATTTGTCTAACATTACTTAACTGCTTATGGATATGACAATGCAGGGCTATTTTACAGCATTTATTAAGGAAGTCACTGGTAAAATGAGATATAAATGATACTCCTCCACAGTGATGAAAATATTCGTAACAGAAAATATAAATGACACAATCGGTTTGATTGAGTTTATTTATGAATGAGAATAAAACATTCGAAATGTAACGTGAATCCTGGTTTTATTTAGTACTAAATCCAATGGCAAATCAAATGTAAAAATTGCCAAAACCTAAACCCGCGTTTAAAGCAGCCAATAAGAGACACAGTTCAAGTTTCATTTAAAAATATTTGATGAAAAACAGGTTTCAGCAAGGAAGGGCGGCTTTCAAATGTTTCAATATTAATATCTTGTGAATAAACAGTCTATTGTCAGTCATGTGTAATAAATAAATAGCAAGAAACAATCATATAAAATGTCTTGTGAATATCTTTGTTTAATCAAGAAGCTTTCAGCTTCATCTTAATTTAACTGTTGTACTTTGCATTTGATCACAGCTTCATTTTAATGATGCGCTAAGTGATTTTTGTTTGTAAGACACTATGGAATTCAATTATGTTTGTATTTTATAAAATGGACCAGTATTAAATGTTACTGATAACAATTCATTGCAAATACAGTAAAATTGTAAATGGTGCATGTAATTGTTTTAATATCTTTGACATTATCATATTTAGAAGTTCAACCAATTTCAAAATTTTCACATAACAAATCACTATGAAATGCATTATTTTGCAAACAATTGTAATATAGTAATGTAATAAATTAATCAGTCTAACAGAACACTACTCACTAGAACTAAATGTCAGTATTCAATTATTAATGCTGTATAATATTTCTCAAATAATCAAGTGCATAATAATATCTAGTGGATTGCTTTACTTTATTTGTTTCAGACTCTTCAATATCCTTATTCCTAACGCCGTTAAAACGATTTGATTGTTATGATATTTTAGTATCCCTTCAAATTTATCAATATTAATTCGATGTTCTTGTGTAAGTATCCATTCTGAATTACCACTACGGCAATAATTAGAAATATTTAATCGAAATTATATTTGATCTTATATAAGTTCCCTAGATTTCAAAATTTAATATCATTCATTGGTATTAGCCTCTTGTGGGGTTTTTATTATTTTTTCCAGATATTTTACATATAGAGAGCTTTGACATGATCACGCTTTCTATATTGAAAACATATTTTTGTATTTAAAACACATATATGTTTTTTCTTCATCTGGAGTCGTGCAACTTTAAAATGTTAAGAAAGAAACATTTACAAATTACTCATGTACTTTCTATTTAAACTAAAACATTTATCTATTCTGAGAAGAATTTTGGCTTAATCATGATAATAATATACGTTATTTGTTTTTGGATTTGAACAATGAACTTTATTGATTAAACCGGTTATTACGCCTAGAACAGGTATCTTTGTGAACGATTCTGGATATGATGAAAATAACATGCTATATACATTGTATTTTCTGAGGCTACATATAACTTGTGTTTTATATATTATTTATACAATTGGCATACTTTATTGCATACTTGTCAGTGTAATAATTGAATTTTTATATTGCCGTCGTGATTCCGATATTGTATTCATTAACTGTTTTGTGGTTTTCTTCTTGTTGTCATATAGCTGGAGTACACGCTATATTGACATTTCCAACTATCATGTCTTAAAATGTTAACAAGTGTTAGCCGGTACAAATATCATCCTTAACATACAGGACTTCTTCTCGAGCGTAAGTATATGTGCTACATGTAGATTGACTCTTGGACAGCTGTTTTTATATTATTATTATTTTATTTATTTTTTTTACTGAAAATGTCAAGGGAAATAATTATAATTTGTGTTGTTTTCATAAAATCAACTTTATCTGATATGTAATAAGATCTTGTTAAAGGATAGTGTAAAATTTGATGAAAATAGTTAATAGGATATTCACAAAATAATGAAATGTGTTCTATATGAGTAGCTATATGATTAATGTGATCTGTTACAATTATAAGAATAAACTATATGTGTTCGAGCGTAATTGTGTTACTTATGTATCCGGCTATAATAATACATTATCCAATGTTGCAGCATTATTTAACTAGTTATTTTAAGCGGAATTGTGTGTTTTTATCTGTGAGTGTATTTTTCTTGCTAAAACGGATTAAGAAATAAATGAAAATTTAAATTGATTAATTTATGACGACCAGTTGTCAACAATTCACGTTAATATAATTGAAGCCATTTTTAAAAAGGAAAATCTGTTTTTCCTTCTGACAAGTATTAATGTTTCACTGTCTTTCATTTACTACTCGTACAAATTATTTTCTCTCATGACTTGTGTTGGAAATATAACAAATGAAGATGAGTTCAACTAATGAAGACGTTTTCTCATTGTATCAGAGACAGAGAGGGAAAGAGAGAAGATAGGAATTGTGTTAGGGAAATATGGATTATTTGCAAAGTGGAGTACGAACACTGAAAAGGTAGGCTTGTTGTTTTATGTTCTAAGTTTTGAAACTAAAATGTAATAATGAAACTTCAAAGTGTTATCTAGAGCATAAGGCATTTAGTTTGATAACTCAAATAATGTAGATTTTTTACGTTATTGTTTTACATAATTACGTACTTACAACGTGGATCGCTGCATACGTTCTAATGAGATGTATTTTTTTCAAATAAAGAACGAACTTACAAATTATATTTTTACATACATTCTTATGACGGTGATTGTTTCTCTAATGAACGGTCTTACAAATAATTGTTAACATACATTCTTTTGACATGAATTGTTGGACTAAAGATTGATCTTACAGATATTGATTTTTACAAAAATTATTATGACGAGGTTTAATTGACAAGAGAACGGTTTTACATATTATTTTTTTACATACGTTCTTATGACGTGGAGTAGATGTTCGTTTTCTCTTTGCAAACTCTAAAGTCTCGAAAACAATGTTTTGAATACGGTTAACTTATTGGGGCTTTCTGTTCAGATATATACGTTACTTTTAGATATACCGATTCAGTTTAAAGTTTGAAATGAAGGTTAAGTTGCCGCACCTATAACAATGTTTATTTTAATACTGTACGAAAAGTTAATTTTACTACAGAATACAAAACCATAAATTTTAAAGAGTATCTTTTTAACTATCTGAATTAATTATTTATAAACTAAGTATACACTAATAAGTTTGACATAATTTGTTTATACCTTACTTATTTTTGAAATGCTGATAGTTCAGACAGATGGACAGATGTTTTGACATATAGTAGAATATCCAGGACATTACATCATTGCTATCCATCTGTTGTCATCATTATATAGTTCGCTCATTTCTATCTGAATCTGAATTACCTCTATCACCAGTCTAAACTCTTGAACTCTTAAACTTAACTGTTACAAAACTAGTGTTTGTGTGGAGCATAAATTATTACAATTACATTCACAACTTGTGTATCTGACATTAAATGTGTCATAAATATATTTTGACATTTCTATTTTGTTTTGCTTTCTATTATACATGTTGCATACTTATTTACGATTTGTTAAATTTTGGCAAATAAATGAATAACCATTAACATAGGTAACATCAAAACAATCTATGCACATATTTTTAAAAAGTAATGTTGCACTAATAAATAAAAAATAAAAGATGAATTAAGGATGTTCTTTAAAATTCAAGGACATAATAATAATATTAATAATATTAATAATAATAATAATAATGAAGATAATAATAATTAAAATGATAACAATAATGATAATAAGAAGAAGACGAAGAAAAGAAAAAGAATAAGAAAAAGAAGTAAACAAACAAACAAGGGAGCAAAATATGAATAACATATCGCAGATTTTATGATGCTGATTAAGCGTGTCTTTAATGCATACTAAGAAATCAATATGCCTAATCGCTGAACCCAAGATTCAAATGGCAAATACGCAATCCCTGTAGTTAAACATTTTGGCTTACTTTCCTATAAGTTGAGCTTTATCAGCGAAGAAGATTCAAGGTGCATTGTTTGAGGCACTAATGGCATCTCAGTAAAATTATGCAATCAAGCTAATCGAATAAATCATCTGATTAATCTATTCAGGAAAAGACATTTAAATATCCTATCACAGCCTTTTGGTTAGGGCGAAAGTACCATATATGTGTAGTGATTACAGCAGTTACAAAGTAAAATAAAATGGTAGATAGCTAAACTTACATGTATATTGTTAGATAAGACACGTATTTGCCAAAAATATATGATATACATAAATTTTTAAGGACTCCTACAACAAACTTGTTTGGCCATGTATTTTCTTAGTACATGTAATAGACATACGATTGCAAATAATTCTCAGAGAAACAAAATTTTAATATCATACCATACCGACAGTGATAAAACGAAATGTTTACTGTCAACCAAGGCGTTAGTATATACATATATACTAAATAATTCAGACTAGTTGTCATAATTATAACTATTATTGTCACCCTATTGTCCAAACAAATATGATATAATAATATTAAGGAAACATTTACAGCACTTGGTATTTCACGATTAGGTTACATGTCAGAGTAATATATTTATATACAATATAAAAAGTATGATATATGAAAAAAGAAGCTTAATAACAAGTCATCTTATGTTTCGCTCATATACAATACAATCACAATTACATTTGTATTTGTTAGCGAAAATCTCCCGAAAAATGTAAGAAAAATACATAATTCTAGTTGAAATATCACCAGAAAACATTACTATTGAGTTGATATCATAATTCTTCTATACTTACATCTAATTTGACCGCCATGTTGACCCTTAAGTAGTAGGACATCAACATTAGATATATTAAACAGTTTTTTATACATTTTGTAAACTTGCTTGTATTTCAAATAAATGACGATTTTTACCGCAATATATGATTCTTTTTTTTTGTTATTAATAGGATAATGAAACAGTCGTACATATTTTTGTTTGTCGTTTTATTTTGTTGGTTTTATATATGAGTTATATGAATGTTTTTTTTTTTTTTTTTTTTTTTTTGTTTGTTTTTTTTTTTTTTTTTTTTTGGGGGGGGGGGTGAGGAGAGGGCGGTAATTCAATCTAAAATGTCTTTGGATGATACACGTTTGTAAGATAAAAGGCAATATTCAGCAACTTAGATTTAAAATATCAACATCCTTTTAATACACAAAATGAAAAGACCTGTGTTGCTTTTTAATTAAATTAAATCATTATTGAATGAAACAAGTATTTCTGTATTTTGATATGATGTAGCATTGTTAAACAACATAATTACCAGAAAATTTAAGACTGAAATGGACTACTACAAAGCAAATTGGATCTCTAGTCAAGTTATAATAAAGTTACAATTTTAATAAATCTTCAGTGTCACTGTTTTGTCAGACTGACAATGGAAAATTCACACTGATATCATGAACATTGTACATACATTGTTAGTACAGTTGTGTACAAATAAATGACAAGTCGCTCGATGACCAGGATTTTGAACTTGATTCAGAGCACTTGAATAGTGAATCACTTAAAGATAATATTATAAAGTATGGATTATTATTGTGTCGAAAACATAATAACTGCTTGTTTCAGTGGATATTGTATGGGCTATTTTTCAGGCATAGTATATCAAATATAACCGATGCCATCAGGAGCCATATACACCGGGATTCATTCAGTGGACTAGGGCGACATCTCTTCTCAACTAACAAAGCAGATCTTCCATTGAAAAATGCTGCATTTGCCAGGTAAACTGTCGACAAACACCTTTAATAACATTTTGATTATGCCCTCATGGTTAAAAAAAACTTAAATTTCTTTAATAGTGCTAGCGATGTAAGTTAGATTTAAAGCCAGCAGAAACAGAATGAGTGTATTTAGTAACCTTGCTGATGAAAATAACATCCCGATTATGTGTTTGTTATAATTATACATAATGACTAAAAGCAAACGGAAAAGGGTCAAATTCAAATTTTGACAAGATATTCAGTCGTTGAAACAAAACATTTTATTGCGACAAGATATTGAAATGATAAAAACGTTCTTTTTAATTTCTAAATGTTTTCTGGTTCTTTAATCTTTCATTTCAGTGTATCGACTGCCATTATTCATTTATTTCAAAAGAAGAAATTACAAGAAAATGAACTATCAATTTTGCAGGAATCCGTAAGGTAGGCATACGCATATCATATATTGTCTTTGGCCGAAGGAAACTCCGGAGGTTATAGTTAACGTTTCTGTTATAGTTTTAGTGGTGCTGTTATAAAAGTTTAATAGTTTGTTTTGAACGTATGTATGGTTCAATATTGATTTACTTTTCGATTTCCTGTAATTGTAGTGTAGTGAGTGGATATTATAAGATATATGATATGAATGTACAAATTGTTTGGTTGCTTTTAGTTTATCAGAATGCTATTAAAACATCAATATTTATAATACTTCAATACAAACTAGTAAACGTGCAACATTTTGAACGATTATGTGTACGTTATGAAAAGGCGGAGTAGTTGTGGTGTGTTTTATAAAAATGATTGTCATGTTATATCTAAAATTAAAAACTAAGTTTGTGCACGAAGATCTGATATAAATTCAAACGACATTTATTTGAAAGTTGTTCCTTTGTTAACCATTGATATCTCTCATGCCAATGAAAATAAAAATCATTGAACTAAATGTTTGGCAAGAAATTTTTTATATTTTTTATATTTTCAAACAAAATAGAAAGTATTCTTTACTGCTTTAAATATTTAGTGAACTTTGCTATTCTCTTTTGATATTTGCTTTTTTAAATTACAAGAATTGTTATCCTTGATAATTCTGGTGTTTAATTAAAAAGCATTTCAATTGATTTTTAGAACTGATTTGAAATGTGCTCTCGGCTAAATTTGATCGGCTGTGAAGCTGAAATAGAACATTATTTTTTTTAATTTCTGAACGAATGATTTTTATTTTCGTTTTTTTCTATAAAATATTACTATATCTTCAGGAATCTCACCACGACGGAGGCAGGGCCTCTAATCTACGATTACTACAAGGTGTGACGCAATTATTCCAATCTTCTTTTGTGATACATTATTCATTTAAACTATAGAAAGTTCCAAGGGAAAAGACAGCCAAACATTAATCCTCTTACAGGGAAACAAATTAACTTTCCTAAAATAACTCGTAGCAACAGATTGATTAAGTTCCCTGCTTCTTGCATTTGTCTAAAGGATTTAAACTCAATATTTTACTGGAAATCGCAAATGGTTTGTTGCTGTTTCATTTCTTATATTTTTCTGGACCTTCGGGATCATTGATTTCAACATTTTTAGACTGAGAATTAAATGGTACTTAAGTCGGTGCTAAGTGCATGAGAGACTTTGCATTTTACATTATCTCTAATGAACAGATACAATCAAAGCAGGTCTTTGATTTTGAACTATTGGATTTTTGAAGTCATTGCTTTTGAAGGATGGATCTTTCCTTTCCAGAATTTTAATTGCTAAAATTTATATATTGACATAACTGTAAGTATGTTTAACATATACCTTGATATTTTTCTTTAAATTTTTCAGGACAAACTTATAAAGAAAGGAATGGTCATAATTCGTGAACAAATAAAACACGAAACTGGTACATGTATAACATTCATATTAGATTCCACAGGTTTCTTATTTGAACAAAAAGTGAAAAACACTCTTGGACTGTATTTGAAATATTTTAATTACTCTCTGGAAACAAATTATACTTAACTCTCTATTTCACTATTTCACAACTTTATTTATTCTTCAACGTTTCAAGCGTAAAACAAAGAGTAGTTGTTTCTTAATAACAATCGCATTTTCTATCTTAGCATTGTATCAGTTATCTTAACGAGTTTTAAATATAGCCATCTTTTGTATCATATTGATTAAATAATTGTATTTTGATATCTTATGTTTTATAAGCATCAATAAATATTTATTTACATAGTGTTCTTTTGTGATACACGATAGTTTTGTCGTTTTGATCACAGGAACATTCGAAAATGTCATGTTTATTTAATTTGGTTTCCTTTCCAGGGCTTACACTTTTGACACATTTGGGAGAAGAATGGGACTACTTTTACGGAGAAATATTACCGGTCTTATACGCACTTTTGCACCCAGTTGAAGTATGTATACAATCATATGAATACTTTTGTCAAGTTAATTAGAATTTTCAATTTTGTATTTTGTACCCAATGATTAATAAAATGACAAACTTTTTGCGTTGATTTGATAAGGACACTAAGGTTAAATATCTTAATTTATTTTGTCAACATTTATAATGGTGAGCATGTTTATGAACTTGCAATTTTTATACTCGTACATAAAATGTAAGGAATGTCATGTTTCATGGACATTATTTGCAAAAAACCATAAGTAGATATCTATTTAATATAACCGTTCTTTTTTCAGACCAAAACGTATACGATAAAACAAGTGTCTTTATTGGAGTTTAGAAACACTGTTTTACTTAAGCTACCAATAAAGGGTATATTCTTTGTTATACATTTTCTTCAATTATATAAAATATGAACAGTAAAACGTATTATTTTGACAATAAATTTAGCATTTCCTGTTTTGTTATTGGCATAGACAGTCTCTACATTTTTCTCTGATTTTATAGGTCTTTTCTAACTATCTTAAATTTTCCTTTCTTTTAGATGCCTTGCCTTATTTATCGCATTCAGACCCAATTTGTGCAATCATAAAACAGATGTTGTTAGTTTTGCACGGGGTTCACGAGAATCCATACACGCTTAACTATATAGCGTTGGAAAAACTAGTCTCTAGAGTGACCTCTCCTCATTTAGGCGTTATGGGACTATATAATGGTGGAAGTGAGCCTATACTGAAGAGTAATTATAGAGGATTAACAAGACTTGCGATACCGGTGATACGTGAGTGTATTTAAGTTCCATTCACAATGTCTATATTTACAGATGCTTCGCAAGAAAATAAGCACCAATAATATTTTAAATTATATGGACCGGATACCCTTGTCCCTTTCTTATAAGTGTTATTGCATTAAGAGAAAAATATAACTCTTTGTTCGCAAAACTGCCAAAACCATTTCATTCGAATGTTGTTGAATTATACACTGATATTTTTTTTTGGTATCCGATATACAAATTTCAAATATTAATGTCCCATCGTTAATTATGTTGAATATTTTGTTACCTATTTTTAGAAATATCAAACGACACGCACGATTCAGACGACAAAATAACATCAGCTGAAGACCAAGATACAAGAACAATTACCTCACCACAACCAAATCGTTTACGTCATAATCGTAGTTCTGTATTTCTACAACAAACGCTGTTATCAGCAGTAAATGAACAGGACAGAGGTCAAATTCGGCGAAACAGTATAGCCACTACATGACAGCTTAGCAACTTACGAAAAACAGCACAATTTTGAAAAATTTACAATTTCCTCAGATAACAAATAGTATTTTGGAGTCAGTCTGGTTTTAAGAAGATGACAAAAAAATGAAAAAAAAATATCTTGTTGTTCGAATATCGTTATTGTATGAATCCTATCATATTTGAACCATGTTTTAGTGTCAAATATAAATGAGAAAGCAAAAACATTAAAGTACAATTAGGGATATCCTACATGCTGTAATTTAATGGAATATACTGTACCTACAAAGTCAATGAAAGGTGATAAAGATCCGACTGTCGTAGACACGTTCAATATTGTAGTAGGTGATAAAATTCCAAAATATTATGTATGTATGTTCACCTGAAATTATGAATGTTCTCATGAAAGTATCAATGTTTACATGAAAGGTATTTACTTTGATGACAGCCATCAAGGACTGACAGTAGATCAAAAGATAGAAGAGTAACATATCACCTTTGAAAAAGAGAACTGGAAGACATGAAATTAACCAATGGCAAATTCAAACTTTCATTTGTACAAAAGAATCAATTCATACAACATATGTACTGAATGACAGTAAATGAAAAACAGCGAAACAAAAGAGAATAAAAACATTTGTCCAACATAGCTTATCATTGGGTTATGCGTCTGTCTTATCTAACAGGAAATCATATAGTTAAGTATTGAGAGTCTATATGTCTATAACTGATTCGTTACAACTTTTGATATTTTACTCTTTACAGAGTCAAATTTACGGCTATAAAGTATACTTCCGCTATACATGTTATAAATGTTGTTTCATTCTTATCTCGCATAGACCTCAAAAAGGCATATTCGCTGCCTGCGTTAATCGAAAATGTGATCCATGCATCATTAGGTAAGAAAAAATATCAAATTCTTTTATTTTATACAAGCAATTCGAATGTCTGTCTTTGCTTTTCTTGGAATGTATGATTTACTTTTTGTGCACAGGCGCACCTTGAGGTTTAAAACAGAGCCCTCGTATGAAGGGTTGACTGTAAAACTAATGTAAATCATATGAAACAAAGGAGGCATTACAAGAGTTTTGCGGTCCACGCTCGATATTTATTCGACATTTAAATAACATACAATGCAAATAAAATATGAGGAATGTTTGTTCAATCTGTAGAAACAGTATTATATTGGTACAGACTGAATTTTATCCGTCTATCATTACTTATATTCTTATAGATATGATGATATATGGTTAATTTACGGTATTTTTTGAGGAAGTCATTGGTAAAATGAGATATAGACAAGATTCCTACAGAGCAATGCAAATAGTCGTGACAGAAAATGAAAATCACACGACTGGTTTGATTAAGTTTATTCATGAATCTATCAAACACCCCAATTTTTCTTAATCCACTGGCAAATCAAAAGTATATTAAATTTTAAGTCTGCATCTTTCAAAATATATAGTGAGAGGTGTTACTATCATTAAATTGTTAATTAATTCTTAGGGGTACAGACATGGTATCATTGTCCTTTCATCTTGCTTTGTTGTTTTTTTGTCTGTAAAAACTAACGCTTGTTAACAGCAGCCGTTGAAAGACAGAGTTCAAGCTGCATTTGATTTTTTTTAATGAAACGCAGGTTTCAACAAGGAAGGGCGGCATTACAATAAACGCATCCCCAACACACTTTTATACTTTTCTATTAAGATAGAAATCAAAACTTAAACAATTTTTATTTGTTTTATAATCAACGTTTAACAATAAATGGAATGGAGAATAATACACAATCGATTTATTTTCCGACACAGTTATGTCCGTGACATCCACAGGTAAATGACTGCCCAATACAGGATCCAACAGGGTTACATATGCCTGTAACAAAAAAAAAAACAGACACAAATTATTCACTTAGTGCATTAAGGCCATGTCACACTTGACTGCGCTTTGACTGCGTTTGCACGGCGTTGTTAAATTAAGAGCGCCGCAAAGCCGCAAAAAAACTTATAGTTTTTATATTAAACCCGTTTATTTCATGCTTTCCAGTGTTTTATTGTAACGTATCAGATGATTATATTCTGATAAACCACTAGTGAAATTTATAAAATATAATTTTCACTGTAGCCGGACTATATCTCAATGCAGATGAAAAGAAAATCAAAACTGAATGGAATAACAGGCAAAAATAAATGCCGTCATGCGTAAATTTTGCTTCTTTCGGAAAAGAAAGTCGATGTCACCATACATTATGTTAAAAATGTAACAAAATTAGAAAAATTTAACAGAACTATATTTCAAACTTGTTGATGTGACGTCATGATGTGATGACGTCACAAAGGAGAATGCGCGACGTTACGCGGCAAAATCAGTAAAAATTACTTAAATTACTTAAAACGCATGAAATAAAAAGAAAATTTATTTGTTTTACATAATTATAAGATTGAAATATATTTCATTCGTGAACACCAGCTATTATATTTTCACTCGTGGCTACGCCACTCGTGAAAATATTGCATCTGGTATTCACTCACTGAAATTATATTTCAATCTTACATGCAAAACAAACAAATATCCTCTATGTCACAATAGGGCGCGTTCTCTCGGCGTCCAAAGAAAATTCAGAACGCCGAGGTGAGCGCAGTAAGATCGCAAACATCACCGCAGCATCGCAACAGCATCGTAGTGGCATCTCACAGAACGCCGATCGACGCGCGCATTTGAGCATGCTCAAAACAAACGCCGTCACTCGGCGTTCTGATTAGAGCGCAGTGAGATCGCAGTAAGGACACCGTAGCAACGCAACAGGAGCGCCAAGAAAGCGCAAAAAGAACGCCGGATGAACGCAGTGATTATCCACGATTGTGCTGCGTCTAGATACCGCGCATATACTGCGTGTGCACAGCGCTTTTACGGAGAATTACTATTTCAGCGCAGAGTGAGCGCCGCGAGAGTGCATTAAAAGCGCGGTGGAAGCGCAAAAAACGCAGTTAAAATCAGTCCGAACGCAAACAATCGATATTGAAAAGCAGTGGAAGCTCCGTAGCATCGCTATGATTGTCATGAGGACACCGCGAAGACACTGTGAAGTATCCATGTCATAAAAAATATCACATTTTATTTTTCTATCTCGCGGTGCTTTGTTAATTTTAACAGCGCCGTGCAAACGTAGTGAAAGCGCAGTCTTGTTTGATATGGCCTTTATGGAAACTTCAAGGCGTCCTGTCGACGATTCTGACGTTGCTACGGAGCTTCCACGGTGTTGTAAAACGTTCTTACGACGTTTAAATTGGCGATTGTCTGCGTTCGGACTGCGCTTTTATTGCGTTCTTTATGTGTCCACTGCGCTTTCGCGCAGCTCTTGCGGCGCTTACACTGCGCTGAAATTGCAAAGCTCCGTAAACGTAGTATAAGCGCGATAGAGACGCCGCACAATCTTCGTACAAGCGCCGTGGATAACCACGGCGTTCATTGGCTGATCATGGCGCTGCTGTTGCGTTGTAGGAGATGCTACTGAGTTGCTACGGCGTAGCCTGATTTCGAATAAGAATTATTTTTGATAAATATAAATACATTGAAAATATATAAATTAAAAAAGAGAAGATTGTTCGACATGAACAAAATAAGATTTTACCTGGATGACTGCTTGCTGACCGTGTAGGCGTTGCACCCATAGTCCAGACACAGGTTGGGTCTCCTAATTCTTCTCCGTTAGATTTGCCGTCATTGTCGCTGTCCTTTTGACATAAAGCAACTGTCCATTTGTGACCAGCGGCAGCAAAGTCCTGAAATCATATGTATAAAATAATACATAATCAATTTATTTGCAACATTAAAAGGGACTCCACTGAGATTTTTTACACGACAGAACTTGAAATTATTAATTTATGTTCCAAATAATGTAGTTGTAGACCGATAGCTATTAAGCTGGCATTGAAAAACTTGCATATAAAGGTCGGTGCTTCTATACATGTGCCAGCTTGGTGTTTGCAATTATGCACAAAATGTCAACTAAGGCCTTCCCCCACCAGTACATTTGGAAAGTCACCACATGGTGTTTATAGCATGTGTATATGTGTGTTATTAAAACCCAAACAAAACAAAAACAACCCAATCACCATTTAAAAATATATAATAATTATACTGTTCAATGGAGAATAATATGTCAACAAATTTACCTTTGAACACAAATATTAAAAGACCGGATAAAACTGATATGCAATTATCAGCATAAAATGTGATACAACATGATTATCTGATGAATTCAGAAGCTTATGTCTCACATTATTTTGCCATGAAAAGTCATTTTTGTTAACTGTTATCGTCGGGTGCCCTAAATTCGTTCCTGTCCTAGAATCAAAACCCTTAATGTGTATGTCAGAAAGTCCCAACAAATGTTCATAAAGAAACAAAACAGTTGAATAATTTGAAACATAAAAGTAGCTGCATAAAACGCTTGAATCATAAGAAAATATAGGGTATTGAACTAGCACTGTACAATACACAGGGAAACGAATCATGACAACCCATGAATATAATCATTTGTGACATTTCTAAATATTGCGACAAAAATATTGTTAATAACAAAAAAACAATGTTGCCGAATAAAAATTAGTACCGGTATAAGAAACAAATGATTAGGTTTTCATAGAAAAATACCTCTTTTAAAATGTCACATTTCTTTGACATCAAATTAATATCTAATCATAAGATAAGAGCAAGATCAGCTTTTATTTTCTGTAAGATATTTTTAATTATAAAAAAGAGCATACCAATCCAAATCTATTTTTGTCATGAGTATGATGTAAAGGGTCGTAATGACCAACAGCCAGCCATACTCCATTACCGCAAGGGTCTGGTACTTTATCACCGTTTGGTATCATAGTTTGATAAGTAACATGCGCCGAAGCACTGGCTAATACCAACGAAATTACAGCTAACCTATACATGATGATCTGGAAATAAAGACCATACGATAATATGCGATGCTTAAATGAAACTAATAATTTCACTAGTAATTAACTAAAAAAAAGAATAGAAAAATGTTAAGAACAATAGCTTAAAGTCCAACAACGCAACATGGATAAATGCAGCTAATACAATAGTTAAAACGATACCGAATGGTACAAGTAAACATACCTAAAAGAAAAAGTCGTTATAATTGATAATTAATACATAATAAGCGATATTATCTTAAATGATTAATTTTTTAAAATTCATATAATAGCCAATCGTTTCTGGCTTATTTTTTAAAAACATTTCAGACATACCTTTGTTCAAATCCTAATGATCTGCTGCAAAAGTATGAGGACCAACAAGATATATATATATATGTCTTTGACTCGAACAAAAGTTCAAATCTAAGCGATAGTGACTTACACCAGCATAATTCACTGTAACCAATGAACTAACTAGATCACGATCTTAGTCACGATCTTAACTGACCTTAAGTTGAGTAGCAGTGTTTAATACTTTATCAACTTTGTGTTGAAAATGGCTTTATTTTCTTATGTAAAATATTATCTTTTTCCGTTGTAAAAAGAAGTTTTGGTCAGATTTTTTAAAATTCTAATTTTTGAGCTGAACGACAAAATAAGAAATATTACACACGTTCTATATTTTGCAAAGAAAAGATTTTATATCTGAAATCAAACAGCTACTGGTGCACTTATTTACAGGTTATATGGCCCTATATAAACGGTTGTTTATACTAGTATTCATGTATATACTGTATTGTAAATAACCGTTTATATACGGCCATTCTTCAGAAAAAGTCTTACCTCAGATAGACTTCCGTCAACTAGAGAGATACTTGATATCATTATAATACATGAAATAGGACACTCAGCATCACCCATAGAATTTAAATATGGATAGAGCTTGCAAAGCGCAAAACTACATACTCTTTTAATATCCTCGTAAATAAGATTTAATATTGAACGTAAATGATGAAATTTAAAAAAAAAAACCTTTAAGGAAAACGCAGGCAAATTAATGACAATACCAAAATTATCTTATGTACTGAAATCACACTAAAATGACATTTGTAAACGCCCAAGCATGAATTTTGGTATCAATTCTATTCATTTTGAGTTTGAAGCGTAAATATAACGAAATTTAGTCGCCGACAGAATCACCGATGACTGTCAAGTGTATATATTTTGAGGATTTACAGAATAATGAATGAAAAATTCAAAACGAAGAAATGAAAATGTTGCCTATGTCTCCCTTTTAAAGCATGAAAATAAATATTTGGATTATATCTTTAAATCTTTAAGGTTGCAATCACTCTCAAATTGAATTATGAATAATCTAACATGAAAGTGGTGTTACGAGAGCTCAATGCCTACAGGACCGTGTATGTATTTTATGCCTAATGAGGGTCAATCCACCCTTTCAGGCACTATACAGTACCTTGGAAACATACGCTGTTGTTCTTTCATTTTCATAGTATCATAAGATTTGTTTAACTTGGGATTTAGATAATATTTGGTGCTAACAAAATATTGTTGATTAAGCTGAAGGAAATATAAATACTTCCAGCTTTCCTTGCATTTACAGGAATGGAATATGTTAAGACATCCTATTCTGTTTGTAAATGATGTAAATTCAGACATTACAATTTGAATACTTCTTATTGTGGTAAATTGCTCACAATCTACACATAGATTGTTTTGTAATTTCAGTAACTTGTTACCATAGAAACAGAAACAATTAATAGCATTATAATTGTAAACTATTATCCTTAAGTATAAGTAATGCAAATCTCTCATGTTAAGTGTAAACTGGGGTAATTTCCAGTATAATTGTAACTATAAATAGCCTTTAAGAAAGGTGATAATTCCATGTAATGGCGGCCATTTTAAAAAATGGCTGCCATGGCAACCATCTTGGCATATATAAAATGGGTCCCATGCCCAAAATGTTTCTTTTGCCTTTATTAACATCTGTGCCAAGTTTCATGCTTTTCCCATTTTCTGAAGTATTTTAGCATATTTTGTTACAAATTGACTGGACTGCCAAGAAACTTTATAACGAATTCATAATACATGTACTACAAACTCCCTTTATAAGAGGATAAATGAAATTACTTTATATATCGACTGCAGCCGTGTATATAAAGCCCCAGTCACATTAGAGCTTACGACCAGTAAAGACCAGTTCACGATCACCAGTGACCTCTGGTCGCAGACAATCTTTAAAACGTCTTACGACGGTCATCGGTGATCTTTGACAGTCGCAGGTTATCCTATTTAGGTCCCTAGTGGCAATTTGTAAAGACTGTCGTAAGATTGTCGCACTCCTGAACGACCATCGTGCGACAGTCTAAGACCTTATAAGATCACTAGCGACCTGTTTGATCGCAAGGAGGTTTTTGTGCAAGCTCAAAAACCTCTCTACGACTGAAATTGGTCGTGGGACCTAAATAAGATAGCCTACGACTGTCAAAGATCACCGATGACCGTCGTAAGACGTTTTAAAGATTGTCCGCGACCAGAGGTCACTGGTGATCGCGAAATGGTCTTCACTGGTCGTAAGCTCTAATGTGACTGGGGCTTAATGACCTGTCGTGCGATTGTCAATGATGACTTGTCTTACGATAGTCGCAGAAGTAAATTTATCTGTGCAAAAATGGTTTTGGTCGCAGACAATCGTTGATGATCGTCAGTTTTACAAGTCACCGGTGGTCGAAAGTAATCGTAAGCTCTAGTGTGACTGGGGTTTAAATTATACAAACGTCATCATTATCCTTTGAAAAACGACGTTGCAAACGTGCAGTACATGTTTTATAAAAAATATATATTTTAAAGTCAGTGCGATGAGTTTTATTACAGTGTACACATATTCATTGTCTTTTGACATATGATTGAGATTTAATAGTATATCAAATACATTTTTTGCTCTGAAGTCCATATTAAAATAATTTCTATCAAAATCCCTTTTTGGAATCATGCATGTGTACAATTATATATATTTTTTAATAAATGCTTTATATCATTTTTAACTGTTTATTTAGAGTTGTTAATGCTGTGTATATATTTTCTGTCCTAGTGGTTTTTTGTGAAAAGTAGTCAAAGGTCAAACACGTAAAAGATAATTTGTAAAATATATTAACTGTAATATTGCAGTAGTCTCCCCAATATATATTGCCAACATATACTTGCTAAGATATATGTGAGATAAATAGATTTATGACAGGTTATATTGTAAAAAAGTTATATGGCTAACTATAAACAGATAATAGTTTATATAACCCAAAACTCGAGGTTTGCATAGCACACAATTGTTTCTAAATAACAAATAAATAACACTTCATATTATTTTATTTGTGAATTGATCAATGTACAAAACAGATAATAAATTAGAAAAACTGTGTGTAAGAATAATACAGAACCAAGATATTATCCAATGAAAATTGACGTTACAAACGGACAGCATTATAATGACTCTTTATCACATAATAAATTTATCACAGTAAAAAAGGATCATTCAGGAAACTTTCCTAATTTAAAAAAAAATCTTAAAGTACAATGCCCTTATCTTAAAAAAATGGTATGAACAAAACCAGTGTTTCAAACTACCATTTCTTTATCAAATGATGACAGAAAAGATTGCAGAGTTATAAAATGTTACCAGATTGTTACTTTGTTTTGACCTATATTTATGATGACCATGTCAATAGTCACAGCCTTATCATCTTGAACTATAACTCTGCAAATTCACTTTACAGTATTTAGGATTTTCTCACATACATGAATATCTTGGGCTTTAACAATAGTTTTGTATGACATTCGTGACAATTATAAATGACCAAAAATGTTTGGGATTAAAAATGCGTCATCCATATTTGTTAAACACTAGTTTGATTAGAAATTAACCAACAATTACACAATCCATGTTAGAGTCATTGTATAGTGAGAGTAAAAACATAAAAATAGTACATTATGTACATTTGAGCCGCGTCACGACAAAACCAACATAATGGGTTTGCAACCAGCATGGATCCAGACCAGCCTGCGCATCCGCGCAGTCTGATCAGGATCCATGCTGTTCGCTTACAATCTCTATTACAAGTAGAGATACTGATAGCGAACAGCATGGATCCTGATCAGACTGCGCGAATGCGCAGGCTGGTCTGGATCCATGCTGGTCGCAAACCCATTATGTTGGTTTCGTCGTGACGCGGCTCATTTGTATTTTCATGTGGTTTGATGTAATATCTCGCTTTAAAGGTACAAATATGTAGATATGTATATTTTCTCAAATAGCAAGACCATTATATTTCACGTAAATAAGATCATTTCAAAATGCATTGATTTTATGCGAAAATTACTTAGTATGCCTTATCACTGTAAGCTTCATTTTTCAGACCAACATAATATGATATATTTTATCAAACTTGTATGTCTCAAGATACGAAAAATAAACCCTTATGTTTCAAATAGAAATATAGACATTTTTAGGTCATATACAGTAAAACCCCTCAATTAAGACCACCATTGGGAGTGGGCATTGAGGTCGGTCTTAATTGTGAATATTCTTATCATTGCTTACATACTTTATGACCATTGTCTATTTTAGTCATTTTGTATGAGCAATAAAACAATATGTATGTTAAGTTATTAACCTACAAATACAATATATGTTATAATATTTAATCAGATGAGAGCAAAACATTTTTATGTAGAAATTTAATATTAGATTCTCATTGGTCTGATTTCAATATTAATTATTATATAATGTATAAAAAAAAATTCTTCACAAAATAAATTTGCTGAAAGCAACATTAAAGCACAGTAACTCTAAAATTTACTTTCACACCTTATTTCACACAAGAACCTTATAATAACAATTTTTGATACCTTGTAAAATCAAGTGTCATGCCTGTCATATCCGTACGAGCAAATTTGCTCCCTTTTGCATACAAAGCTATAATTTATTATATAACTAATTTCTTTCATAAAAAAAATTAATTTCCTTTCAAACATAACACAAACGATAGAAAAGGCATTTCCTGCACATAGATGATAAAAGTATTATACAAAATAAGAACTTACCTATTCTACCTTTGCAAGATTTTTTCGTCTTTTCTGAGATTTCTATTGGTTTTACTAAATTTATGATTTTTAAATAAAATCACGTAACTTTGATACACCTTGTGGAAGCAAAACTGCACAACAAAGAGACAAATCACAGTCCTAAACTGTGGAGTATGTTGAAGATGGAGTTAACTACATGTATATTGTTTAAAGATAACGCGAGAAGATATCTACGTTGTGTCTCCAGCGTTCAATGTCCTATTGAAATATTCATGATATTAGACAACAGTATTTACAACACTATCCGCGTGGGTTCTTTCAAAAAAATAAAGCAAGAAACTTTACACTCATTGCTCATTACTGTTTGGCTCCAGGAACGGATTCTTAAAGGTCCATTTATCCTCAGATATGTATCATTTAATGTCTTTAAAAACATTTTGTTTTTTGTATTTTGCAACGGTTTTCAAACAATTATGCATTGGTCATACAGATAAACTACCTTTTGCTCCTGATGCCATGTAAGCAATTTGTATAATTATAGTGAAAAAGTATTTTGTATGGAAGTCAAAATACTTGTTTTGTTTGTATTTTGCTACCTTTACGGCACATTATTGCACGTTCAGTGCTATTTTCTTCAGTTGTTAAACGTCTTACATGCTCTAAATCAACTATCAAAACATTCTAAACATATGTTTGACTGATCTTATGAATTAAAAATATGGATTCCTGAGTCATAATGCGTCTTTAAGTATGTCTAAAAGCTATAAACGTCCTTAACAATCGAACTAAAATATATTCTTTATAAACCAAATCAACAGTAAAAACTAATTTTTATTTAGCCCAGACCTTGGACACGGAATGCAACTTCGAAGCATAATGGTTTGTTTATATGACGTAATAAGAAAAATCCGAGCTTCTGCAACACATTTCTAATGTTATCAATGTAACGCTAATCATTATAAATAGTACTTTTTCGGCCTGTAAAATTTACAGGGAAGAACGGAATACTAGTATAATTATGTAATAATTTTATTGGTCATTTAAAAATTACAATCTCAAATCTCGGAATCTGATTGGCCATTGTACAATTAGTATAACAACATAAAGGATTTTACTGACATGGCATACGCGTCTAACTTTAGATTGATCTAAAGGAGTTCTGGAAACGAACTATTTACATTCAAAGGCTATTTTTCTATCAAGTTAAATTGCAGATATTTAAGTTTTGTTTAACCATGCCTTCTCCTACACATTATAAGTTCTTTATTACCGTGCATCTTCCTACAGATTATTTTCTGTTGCTTCAGTGAGTTATAAATTTTGTTAAACATTAACGAAATTACGTCCACGATCCCGTTTACTCATGTGCATGAAAATGTCGAAAATCACACAAGTTAACGAATTTATCCGGTATATATATATGGTGGCTGATTTGGTACCCTTTTGTGCTTCGCGTTGGCGCTAGCGACAAAAAAACAAAGCGCCAAACATCGCGTTGTCGCGCTGTCGTCCTGTCTCCAGCGCGGTACTCCAAACGGCGCGTTATCGTGCGGCGTGTTGTCGCGATGCACATTGTCACTCGGTTCAAAACCAAGATGCAGGGCGACATCGCGACAACGCGCCGCACGACAACGCGCCGTTTGGCGTGCCGCTCTAGAGACAAGACGACAGCGCAACAACGCGCCGTTTGAGGCTTTATCGTGTTGTCGCTAGCGACAGGGCGACAAGACGAAAGTGCGACAACGCGCCGTTTGGCGCTTTGTCGTGTTGTCGCTAGCGCCAACTAGACGCACAAAAGCTTACCAAATCAGCCACCACAGGTATCATCAGTTTTTTTATGAAATTGATACAAAGTTGATAATTTTAAAGTATATTACATATTAATGAAGTATTTTATAACTGCTAACGATTGAATGGTTTGTTTATCAAAGTATTTTTAGATTAGAAAGCTTACTTTCAATTCTTTTTTCGGATTTTAGGTTTCTTTTGATATTTCCAAAGGTGTTGATCCGGGTATTTCGTATCAACAAAAAGTTGTCATTTTAAAAATTTCTATTGAAATTTCGATATGATTAAACTTCAATTACTTAATTTTTATTTCTTTGAGATGAAACGACATTCACAATCATAGAAATAAAAGAATAACATGACGGTAAAATGAACTGAGACGAAAAAAATAGTATGAAATAAATTGTTTTGTTTGTAGTTTTTATATACTTCTTCTTTACTTTAAAGGATTTACTTTAGACTTTTACATTTTGTTTCTTTGTATGTGCCAACAGATGCATAGAATTTTAATATTTCAAAAATTTAAACGTAATATTCAATAATAGGCTCAATATCATAATCCTTATGATTCTAAACCAGTTTTAGTTCGGCCGAGTATCTTTTTAAAAGATAATTCTTGTTTGTCTTGAAAAGTTTTTATTAATCTTATAATGAAATGACCAAACATCATATTGAACTAACCTCACAAAGTTTATAAACATTCTAGCAAGAAATGCGAACTTTGCATATAAATAGTGTTTGATTTCGTGTGCTAGGATTCATACTGATTATACATGGTATCTTTCACATATGTAATCATGGCATGTTCTGATGTTGAAGGACATGCCTTTAACGACAAAAGCCAATGCCAGTAGGGTAAAGTGAATTTAACTGTTTAAATTTCCGCTTTTTTAATATGAAAATTTAACAACATGACAAACATTTTCAAATATCAAATGAGATCAAAGTACACACATGTTAATACAGTATTATATAATAACTATCATTAATACCGGTTTTAAAACAGTACTTAGACTTGTCAAAACTGTATATGCCGTGTCACATATACTGTTAAATATGGCAACAATAAAATACCATGCATAATACTGGAATAAATTGGGTTAATATCTGGAATGTCTTTATAGCACTTATCAACATTGTCTTGTTTGAAATTCAAATACATTTAAAATGAATTCCACCAAAAAACTGTTGAATTAGATGGCCCAACATTATTATCCTCCGCTCGAAAACAGACATACAGGTAGTTCAGAAATCTACATCAATATTAATGTAGTATTATAACGTAGATTCTTTGTCTTTGTTAGAAAACTTACATGAAAACTGCCGCCGAAGACAGCCACACACTGTTAACTTAGTGACACTGTGTAAGAGTTTTGCCATTTTCAATCACTCATTCTATTTTCAACTTCTGATCAGGAACTTGTTGGAAGTAACCACTCTTGGTCACATGATACAGAAATCCGATGATCTGATTGGCTATAAACACTGTTGCATCACTGAATCTGACTTTTTTTTAGAGACATAAAAGATGCTTATAAAAAAATAATTTTTATTTATTATTATTATTCAGGGCGGTGTTCCCTGCGCTTGATGTGTTGTCAGCCTTCTAAGCTCTAGCTTTGCTGCACCTTTGCTGTCTATTGTTTCACAGCGTCAGATGAAGCAATGATATGAAGCCCTTGTTTAGCTATCCACCTGTCAGGTTGTAGCTATACTGTTTCGCCGGATCTGACCTTTGTCTAGTTCTCTGACTGCAGCTAAATGAGGGTGATATAGAAATCCCGAGCTTCGTTTATGTAGCAAACGGTTAACTTGTGGTGAGAAACCAGCTCGAGTGAATCTGTCGTTGACTGATATCATGTCATCATCTGAATCAGTTGTTTCGTCTGATATTGCTGTTTAAATGAGAAGAATATTTTGTACATTATTTTTGTAATTTTTTAATATCTTTAAATAAAATTGTAGAATACCTAAGACAATAAGATGTAGCATTACACGAAAACCAAGTTTGTGTCTCACATTATTCACTCTTAACAAAACTTACATATATTTATCATGTTCGAGGTTTTTGTTAAAGCAGGAATATCTAAATAAATAATGATTCTTTGTGTATGCCTTGGAAATAAATGTATATAGTTTATTGTTTGTAATTGACTTTGAACTCTCTTATGCAACGAAGCCTTTCAGCTAGCTCACGGGAGTTCGATTGTTTAACACAGGTACCCACTCATGCCTGAAATAATTCACAAACGGGGACCTGAGGTCTTCTTCCACCATTAAAGTTGAAATGTCACAGTATGAGGAATTACTTAAACTCGAACAAACAAACAAGTTTGAGTGATAGTACAATATACCTTTCAAAAGTATTTAAATACAAGGAATTTGAAGAAGTATAAAACATACTTATCACAGGAATCGGAAGTCTTTCTGGTGGTTTATAATTACTCTTTAATTCTGGTTCACTGTCACCATTATACAATCCCAGAATTCCTAAATGAGGTGAGATCACTCTGGCTACTATTTTCTCTAGTTCAATATAATTGTCAGTACATGGGTTCTCGTGAACCCCATGCAAAACTAACAACATTTGTTGTATGATTGCATGAACCGGATCTGTATGTGATAGTTCAGCGACAGCATCTGCAGAAAGAATAATGAGGAAGCAAGCTTGAATAATAAATAATTTATATTCATTATAAATACACTTTTCATTTGAGCCGTGTCACGACAAAACCAACATAATGGCTTTGCGACCAGCATGGATCCAGACCAGCATGCGCATCCGCGCAGTCTGATTTGGATCCATGCTGTTCGCTATCAGTTTCTCTACTTGTTATAGAGTTTGTAAGCGAACAGCAATGATCCTGATCAGACTGCGCGGATTGACAGGCTGGTCTGGATCCATGCTGGTCGCAAACGCATTATGTTGGTTTTGTCGTGACACGGCTCATTTCATCATTACACATTCGTTTTAAGTAACATAATAGTCATCTATTTAATATCTTTTAATCGTGGTCGATACAGTGGAGTGGAGAAACATTTAAGAAAATGTAAATTATGTAATGATGAGATAGAAGATGACTACCATTTCTTATCAAAATATCCAAGACTTTCAAACTTTCGAACACAATTTATTCCTAGAAAGCTTTACGACAAACAATACATTCCATCAAATGTCATTCTGCTGAGTAGCAGAAACCATGCTCTGATTAAAAATGTTGCTTTGTATATTTACTCTCATTTTCTCTTTATTTATGCTCAGTTGAAAACAAACAGTATACTTGAACAACGGAACAAGATATATTTTCTGTAAATGAAAGTATCAATAATACTAAAAATGCTCTTGTATCATGATAACATTGTATTTACATGTATTTCTATTCATATCAGTTGATGATCCTGGGCCGGTAACCATATGTCCATAAACTTTGTGATATTGTCATTGTATACAGTTATCATAACAGTACAACCAACAAGTAATAACTATAAATAAAAATAACAACTATACCTTTAACCGGTAATTTAAGCAGAACAGTGTTCCTAAACTCAAGTAAGGACACTTGTTTTATTGTGTACGTTTTAGTCTGAAAAGGAAGTAAGAGTAATTAACCAACTTTAATTACACAGTATTCACAAAGGGAAATAATGAATGTATAAATTCTACTTAAAGTACTTGTAAGATGCATGAATGGCAGTTATTAACTTCCTTCTATTTTATATACTATAACATGAAATTGTTTCATTTATGTAAATGTGTTAATGTCAATACATGTATATATCTTAAATTGAAAAACCACAGATATTAAAATTGTTTCTCGTACAAGTTATATATTTAAAGATACCGACTTTCAATCAAAACTAGAAATCTTAATTAGAATTAGAGAGAAGCAATAAGTTACATATAATAATTTTCCTTGACATTTAAAATAGCAGAAAAGGTTAGAACGTCCATCAATGTTATACTAACTTCAACCGGAAGTAAAAGGGCATATAAGACCGGTAATATTTCTTTGTAAAAGTAGTTCCATTGTTCTCCTAATTTTGTCAAAAGAGAATGTCCTGAAATTATAAGAAAGGATAACAATTACCCGAAATCTAATCAAGATATATTCCACATGTATTTATATCTATTCCTCACTTAAAACAACATATACCACTGACGTTCTTGAATTTGATAATTTAGTTTTCCTTTGCTGGTTGCCCAACGGAAAATTGATTAATAGTAAGAATAAAAGAACTTGTGTGTTATATGGAGAAAATAATTTCTGTTAATAAACATAAACAGTTGAAAATATTAAATGAAAAAACATGTAATGAAATAATATTTTAACACTATTAATTAGGTACAACTATATGCGAACTTTAATAATAAACGAAATGATCGTATACCTGTTTCGTGTTTTATCTTTTCGCGTAAAATAACCATTCCCTTTCGTATAAGTTTGTCCTGGAAGGTAAAAATCAAAATGTTTTCAACACAAGTTAAAGTTCATTAACAAAATGAAAGAACAGAATGTAAGAACAGAAGATAAAATTTATCAACATCAATAGTTAAAATTATCTGTGGAGATTATTTAGACATACATGTGTATTCAAGAGTGAGAATGTTAAATCAATTTGTTGCCTCAAGTTATTTTCAGAAAGTAATTCATATCTTTCTATATTAGGGAGAGATCAATGTATTCTGGTGTATTCCCTAGAAAATTCTTTTGTCTGAACTTTGTCTAATTGAGTAATGTATCACAACAGAAGATTGGAAATTTTGCGCCATACCTTAAAGTAGTCAAAGATTAGTGGGCCTGCATCCGTCGTGGTAAGGTTTCTGAAATACATTACATTTTTTATAATAAAAAAAGAAGGACACACAAACTAATCAATTTAACTAAATATAATTATGATAAATTTTATATTCTCAGCCAAAGTCAATAGAGCAGATGTTACTAAAAAGAGGTTTCTAAGAGGAGGTTTCTAAGTAGAGGTTTTCTAAGTAGAGGTTTTCTAAGTAGAGGTTTTCTAAGTAGAGGTTTCTAAGAAGAGGTTTTCTAAGTAGAGGTTTCTAAGAAGAGGTTTCTAAGAAGAGGTTTTCTAAGTAGAGGTTTTCTAAGTAGAGGTTTCTAAGAAGAGGTTTTCTAAGTAGAGGTTTCTAAGTAGAGGTTTCTAAGAAGAGGTTTTCTAAGTAGAGGTTTCAAAGAAGAGGTTTCTTAGTAGAGGTTTTCTAAGTAGAGGTCTCGCAGTAATTTATTATGAAGCACTTGTAGCGTTTAATTACAGAAAAAAAATCTTACAACTCACAAAAGAATCTCAAAGAATATTTTTGTGCTTTGAATTTTCATATCTTGTCTTAAGTATGTCTTAAGAACATTTACAGTTGATACTAAATATCACCGACTTTTCTATCGAGTTGGAAATCATTATGTTGACCATTACTCCCATCGAAGTTGTACATGTTTTGTCCTGCTTTGCGTTTGAATATTCCAATGTTGATAAACAGGTTTCCAATTAAAAAAAAGAGGTAAATTGCCAAAAATAAAGATGATTATAAGATGCCACTCACTTATTATAATTCTAGATAATTATTACTTTATTAAATAGAGAAAAGGGCATCTTTTAATCACCGCTATATAATTTAAATTATTTGCTATTTTCGTTTGTCTTCATATGGAAGGACAGGGTACAAGAGCAACTCGTTCATTCACAAGATATAACAAATGTTTAAAATCTTGCAATAAGTATAAAGTTTGAAAATAGAGAAACTATGTAATGCAATTTTACATTCTATGAAAAAAAACATATCAAGCTATAGACAGACATGTTATTAGTAGAATTATTCTCACCTTACAGATTCCTGTAATGCCGACAGTTCATTTTCTTGTAATTTCTTCTTTTGAAATAAATGAACAACGGCAGCCGATACACTGAAATAAAAAAAATATTGAAGCAAAATCATGTGTTACTTCAACTACGGATTCTTTAAATCTTGGTATTTTCTAACGCGTTTTTATCATCAACATATTTTTTTTATTTTAAAACTGATTTAACACCTTAGTGAATTTAATAAGGACAAATTGGTACCTGGCAAAATCGGCATTTTTCAACGGAAAATCGGTTTTATTAGGAGAGAAAAGATGTCGCCCTATTCCACTGAAGGAGTCCCGGTGAATATGGCTCCTAATAGCATCACTTATGTTTGAAATACTGTGTCTGAAAAGATAAAAAAAACTACATACATAACAGTGTATACCAAGAGCAGGTTCAATAAAAGCGAGTCTAAAGTTTCAACTGTGTGTTGGTTTTCCACTTTTTGACTTCATATTTTATCATAGTAGTCGTTTTTTATCATAAGAAAATCATAATAATTCTTTTAACCTGTTTTGTTCTAAGGCTATTGTTGTATCATACAAGTGCTTTTAAATCTTCCTTTAATTTCCATATCAAGTAGTCGACTATTTAAAATATAATTAATATTTGATGACAAGAAAAGAATGCTAAATAAATGTTATATGACAAATATACATGTGTATGCATTTATCCAGTGTCAACACTCGAAAGAGTAAAACAAAGTTTTTTATTTTCGTTTGTCTTCAATCTTTTTGCTCATCTTAAAAATGAAAATGTATAGCTACTTAATGCATATTTACTTTAATTCAAAACTATCTTAACTTTATGAAACTGATGTTAAACATTTACAAGGATGGGCCCACGATAATGTTGTAAAAGCTTTTGGCCCAACCCTTTTGTATATTGTGTAATTTTGTTGATGTATATGAATTGATATATATCTATATATGCAATAAAACACTATTAAACTAAACTAAGTAAAACAAAGTATACGTATAACTTATTGTCGCAATATTAATATTTGGTGGTATATAAACATACATAGTTACTTACGATTGTTGCATAATCCTCTATAGTATATAAAATACAGTTATTATGTATTACACAAACACACACTAGTATATAAACACTAACGTAACTTATTAGTATCTAAGTATATAGTGAATAAGTATCACTAAATATCTGTGAAGATAGCGACACATAAATTATCAGTTTAATTAATCTCAATGGATATCTTTTCCTAACCAGGGTCAATATGGCGGTCAAATTAGATAAAATAATAACAATATCCTCTCCAAGTCTCAAATGATATTATTACTACTAATGATACATATAAAATATAAAAATCAATTCAAATATTCAAGTACTGTTTTAAACAATTGTCATTATAATTGATATCAATTGAATTTACTCTCATATCACAGAATACAAAAGTTTCACATTAATGTGGGTGGTAGAAATCTAAAGGTTTCATATCTAATATTTCCGTATTGATAACACAATAAGGAAGGATAATGGATGACTGTTTATGAATTGATCACGAAACTTAAATCTATTGTTAATTTTACTTTAAATAGTATGACTCAGCCCATTTTTAAACATACGAAACACTGCTAAGGATTTTGTAAATAAATCTGTTAACTTCTTGTTAAGCTTGAATGGTGTATTTAATTGTAACAATTCACTATAATCTTTTGGTTTTCTTCCTTATAAAAATCGTGCTTTAAAACATTTTCCTTGACAAATCACACACTCCCTTTATGTAACGAGACCTCTCAGCGAACAGCGCGTTCCACTTTTCTCAATAAAGGGGCTTAACACTGCAGACGTGATTATCACACTTACCTGCCCTTGATAGTCAACACTATTCCAAGTTTGAACGGTTTTCAAGATAGGTCTAACAAGGGAAATAATAAATCAAAATGCAAAAAGGCTTTCAGGAATATGTTCCCCCTAAAATGCATTTAAAATTCGATAGCTTTGATACTTTTTGAGAAATGTACCTTAATTAAAAACCAACAAGAAAATCTAAAACAAAAAGGGGGATTACTCAGACTTAAAAATAAACTTAAAAGTTACATGCCCTTTAAAAATGCATTTGTAATTTTAAAAGTAAAAAGTTCTCCAAGTTTAAAGTAATTAACTTTGATAATCTTAGAAAAAAGGAGCATAACTTTGCAAAAACTAAGTTTTGGATTATCTCCCCTTTGGAAATGGTATCACGTTTGAAGTGAATTACTTTAATAGTTACTGAGAAATTGAACCTTAACAATATGTTAACCAAGGCCAAAATGTTGAAAAGAGTTGATAAAGGGGTATAACTTTACAAAAAAATAAGATTACCTGCCCTTTTCAAATGACGTCCTTACATGACAATTATCATGACAATAAACATGTATATTAAGCTCGAACTGAATCGCTTTAATTAAATAAACCTTAACGAAAACGTTAAACAACGCCAACGCCGACTACATCGCCGACGAGAGGGTCATGACAATAAATCCACTTTTTTCTTCGAAAAGTGGATCGGTACAATGTGTGGCAGTTCTTACTTTTTAACTCATTAACTCTTTACATTATCAATTGTTGGTCAATGGCCATATTATCATAGTCAATCATTTTAACGAAAATTAATGTGTATAATAACTTTAATTATTGCATGATTTTGGAAAACGTATTGATTTATCGCTAGTTCATGTATAATAATATTACTCCTTATCTGTCAAATCTTATCATGCGATGGTATATATGTATTTTCATATTATCTCTAAGTACTTATTTATTTCATTCAGTTATAAATTTCAACTATTTAAGTGTTGTTTTTTTCAATGAATGAAAATATAAATATCATATTGTAAATAACTGTGAAAATTTTTATGCAAGTCAGCAAAGAATTAAAGAGGGAAATGTCAAACCATTACTTGTGAAACACATTCCTGTCACAACACAAACAAAACATGTAATAGTTGTAATAGTTCATGTTTCGTGCAAGCCATGAAATTAAAACAAGATATTTAGATGTCATGTGACTTTTTCAATGTTAATCATTTTAAATGTCTGATCGTTCATTAAAAGAAGTATGAAACAGAATTGTACCCCCCCCCCTTTTTTTTAGGCCTGTAATAGTGAAAAAAATGTCCTATTTGGGCCCCAAAAACGTGTTTTCGTTTGAGAAATGTTGGTAAAAAAAGTGAGCACTTTTGACCCCATCCGAAAGATACATCAGGGGGATGTGCCCCCTTCTGTTTGGGTGGTTTGAAGGGCGGCGGAGTCCCCGTCATCGCCAAGAAAATTTTGGACTTGTGAGATGCTAAAAATGACCCCAGGTCGATCATAAGGTTACGTGTAACCAACGCTGACAAGCCTTTGACTCTATCTCAATCCCTTGAGAAGTTGCAGCACTTTGAAATAATTTTGATGGAAAAAATCGAGGCAAAATAGTGATTTTTGGCAATTTTGAGATGTCCCCTCGTTGCCATGGTAACAGGAAATTTAAGACTGAGCGTGTCGTTACAAAGGCAATGGTCCAGTCAACATTTGTGCTAAGTTTGATTAGTATTGAAGCATTTTTCATAGTTTCATAGCAGTTTGAACTTGTAACAGGAGGCTTTTCAGTGAAAACGGCCATTTTTTCACAATATGCTCATGAGGGAAAGGGTTAAAAAGTTTTTTATCGAAACTCTCTTCATGAATTTTGTATAAATGCTAACAAAATATACCATATATAAACTAAATTGAACATATCATTTTTACTTGTGCTTGCTTTCTAACGTACAAATACTATCTTTATAATAACTATTCATGAACTAAATTCAAGATTCATAACTGTAAGGAGCGTTATAATTATCATGAATTTTATATTTCCAGATGTTTCTTATTTGTTTTCGACACCAGTGTGTTTAATATTCTTTCTCTCATAAAAATAAATCATAAAACCAGTGAAATTTAAGCAGTTTATGTGGATTCAGATGCCATGCTGATATTGAGACAACTATTTTACAAATTATATAACTCTTTGAAAATTACATTACAAATTACATTCCTAAATTAATAAATGGTAATGAGGCACGTATTTAACAAATAATATTAAAACATGAATAATACCTTACACATAACACCATTACATACCCCTGTCAAAGGAGCACGACCAAAACACGTAAAATTTAAAATTCTTACATAGATCAAATGAAGCACTTGAAACGGAAAAATCTGTAAAAGGATGATAAAAAATATTACTCGATATTATATTTAATATCGACTTTTTTGTGCGATTCTTATCCTGAGTTGACTTCGGTGAAGCCCCTTTAAGGAACGATATTAAATATTACCTCACACATAACACAAGAAAATCATTGATGCAAAGCATCAAAGGGCGACGCCAAAAGAATTTGATCCAGATTTGCACCTAAATACTTAACAAAAGATGTGTACTTTATAGCAGTACCATTACATGTGACCTGGAGGCTAGGGCCAGTTTAAGTTGAAACTTAAACCAAAGAAGAATAGACTCTGTCTTGCCAAGATGCAAAGACAATTTATAGTCAATTAAGCAATCTTATAAGACTTATGCTATAAGAAAGAATTTCTTCAGATTTATTTATGAGACACAAGGATTCCTGAGTCATCAGCATATAATCACTGGCACGAGTATCGGACCTGGGAAGAAAAAATATGACCAGATGACCAGATTGATAAAAAAAACTGTGTTTATAAAAACCAAAACAAAAAATGTAAATAATGATCCCCTTTAAAAATATACTATCAACTTGAAGTATATTTTTAAAGGGGGTCATTATTTACATTTTATTTTGGTTGTTGACACTTTTAAGATGAACACAGGTTTTTTTATCAATCTGGCCATATTTTTTCTTCCAAGGTCTGATACTCGTGCCTGTGCATTATAATAAAAGCTTATTGCTTAGGGTTGAAGACATGTAATTGACATATATTAGACATAAAAGAGGACCTAAAATGAACATCAGGGGGACAGCATAGGTACTCCCAGAGCAGTAGTAGAATGAGTACCAGCCACATCAACCAGCTACTATCAGAGATAAGACTTAAACCATGTAAGAATGTCATTATATATGGCAGATGCTTGAAGTTTCATGAAGAAGAAGAAAAACAACTTCTTCATCCCAGATGTGCAGTATAGTGTGTTCAACTGTATCAAATGCCCTTTGTAGATCTAAAAGTATCATGCAATACTGCCTTTGTCCATTTCAAATAATGCAATCTGTTAAATGAATCAAACATGTGTCAGTTGAAAAACCACTTCTAAACCCTGACTGAAACTGCCTGACCATGACTCGAACCCATGACTTTCAGAAGACCAACTGAGCTATCCGGCCTGCTACACATTTTCTCTTTAATAATGAAACAGTTCTAAACCACAACATATTTCCCCACTATATCGATTTGTGTTCGTGAATTTCTTATGTTACAGAGCATAGGAAATTGAACTCATGCTTATATGCAGTCACAAGATGAGAAAAACTTTGAGCTTGACCAGAACTCAAACCTGTGACCAACATAAGAAATTTTAAGAAGGCTGATTTGTATTTTGCATCAAGGGCACCGGGCAAAAACATGAAAATGCAACAAACAAACCACTTTGTGGTAGATTGTATTTTCATGTTTTCATCTGGCGCCCAGTTACTTTTTATACTATGTTGGTTTTCATGTGGCACAAATCACCCACTATAAATTTAGTGCACAAATTTATTCAAGGGCAAGTAACAATCTACTCTATGTACAGTCTGTTGTCGGGTTGACTCAGGAGACCTGGAGGTTGAGACCGGTGTCTCTTCATTACAAATAGATAAGACCGAAGCTGTTTTTTTCAAACTATGCACATGTTAGAAAAAAATAGAATAACTATTCAGAATATGATTTTTTGAGACTTTATTAATTACATTGCTTGATCCAAGTTTAAGGACATTTTCAATCAATACATGTTTTATCATTTATAACTTTAAATGAAAGTCTCATCCCTTTAATAATAATGACATAACTGTATATCTTTAAATGCAGAAAATATAAGTCTCAACATATCAATATACTACTGTCTAAGATATACATGTATGCACATAACATTAATAATTCCCAGTTTATATTAAATAAATATGAAATCCTAACATTAACATGCTTTTGATGACCTTACAACTGGTGAATTATATACAACAAAAATAGTATTATAAGTAATACCTAAGATAGACAGAAAAGAACAAATAATTTAGTAAACATGAGTTACTTCCCCTTAAAATAAAGAAAACCTGAAACCCAAAAGAACACCCTAAACAGCAAAATTATGAAATGCTGCAGGTTCAGTTTTATCAAGCCATGCAAATTAATGGTAATGTATTCATAAAAAAATAGATGGCCATGTGTCAGCAGTAATTGCAGAAAATCGGATAGCTTTCAACATCCGGATACTGGTACACTTTGTAAAAACAACCATTCTGCGCAACAGATAAATGTAATAAGGATAAAATCAATAGGATAATCGTTTACAACAGTTCCATAACCTATCCTTATACTCAATTGCAGGTGAACTTTCTTCTTGTAGGAAAATTTTGAAAATGTATAAATGAATGAATGAACTGATACGGCCTCAATCTAGACCACAACGATATTCGAAATCCGGGTTTTAGTATTGTCATTAAAACTAAGGGACAAGCTGTTAAACTTAACCTGAAATTTCGTGAAAATAATATCACAATGCACATGCTTTTTATAAAAAGTTATTAAATACAAATATAATAACACATTTGTTTACTTGATTTTTACGAATCAAAATAAAACTAATTAACACAACATGAAATTAACTGCTAATAATAACAGCTCCTTCCATAGGCAAAAATAAAAAGCGTTCCATAATAGACGACGCCGCTCACCGGCGTCGCCAATAATTCTGATTTTACCTTATACATAACAAACTTGTGTTAAGGAAAGATGTGTAAACATGTGATGCCGTTCAGCTTGTAAGCAGCTATATATAAATGAGCCGCGTCATGACAAAACCAACATAATGGGTTTGCGACCAGCATGAATCCAGACCAGCCTGCGCATCCACGCAGTCTGATCAGGATCCATGCTGTTCGCTTATAAACTCTTAACAAGTAGAGAAACTGATAGCGAACAGCATGGATCCTGATCAGACTGCGCGGATGCGCAGGCTGGTCTGGATCCATGCTGGTCGCAAACCCATTATGTTGGTTTTGTCATGACACGGCTCAAATGTATACTAGTATCTAGAAAACTTTTGCGAACATGTCATTTCTTTTAAAGGAATTTAGTTTGATGTCTATTTTTGGTCTAGTTATATAACATGACAAAGTTGTTTAAAAATACACAATGATTAAAGTTGTTGACTGAAAAAAGGTCCGCTAGATTATATAAATAAACCGTTTTGTACATGAATAATCAAACATAAATCGATGAAATAATATTATACTTACAACACTCACGTTTGTAAAGTCGCATTAAATTGGATAATCGTGACGTTTATATTATTTTATATACACGGCTGCTGTCAATTTATGAAGAAATCTCACTTTTTTGTCTAAAAATGGAGGTTTGCTGTATTATAAAGCGGCTCAGGTTATATTTTCAAATTACCGTTATAACCTCTCAAATATCTTTATAACTAATAACAGAGTGATCAGTTTGCAGTTGTATAAAATCGTTTATTAAGTATTTTACTTTCAGGATCTCTAATATTTTAAGATACGGGAGGATTGTTTCTATATATAACTGAAATATCGGACGTCTTAAAGCAGCACGCCTCCAGATTCATGTTAATTTTCATAAAAATTTTGAAAATGTTTTTAAAAGTAAAATATTGTGAGGTGAACAAATAAAGTAATTTCATATTGCAATCAGCACTTACAATCCACGAAAATTACCAAAACAGTGGTCGGCAAATGCCAAAACAGCCCTTACTGCGTTAGTAACGCAGTAGAAATATGGTAATAAAATACCGTAAAATCTTCTTAAACTGCACATAACATGTAAAAAAATAACTTGGAACTTGAATGTTGTTACCTTTCTTAAAATTTTTTTTTTAGTACATTTTTCTTAATATTAATTTCCTTGAAATATTTTTGCTCATCTGGAGGCGTGCAGCTTTAAAAGATAAATGGATATTTACTGTAGAAAACAAACAAAACAACTTAACCACTAACTAGATAAGAATGCAACGCGAAAATGTAAACATTGAAACCTAAGGCCAAAGGTAGGTTGGCAAATATAACACCGCAATAAAACTAGAACTTTAACTCATTGGGCCTTTGACATAAATGTTTGAATATTATTTTCCCATATAGATCTAAGAAAACACGTATGAGCTGGTCGGTCATGTTTAAAAAATAAAAATTTAGAAACTTACCTTTTCAGAGTTCTAACTCCATTTTGCAGGAAGTCCATATTTTTCTAAGGTACACAAAAATAGCTTCCCTAATTCTACGTCCATAGACCGTTTTCAGTAGCCAAATCCATCCGTCTTCATCCGTATTTGTATCCAGCTATATAAATGATGAGAGAATATAATGTTAAGAGAATGTAAGACCATGAAACATCAATCCCTGTCAAACAAATTACGCTTCCTCATAGCTGGTTTTCCTGACTTAACTTCTTACATAACTACTTATAAAACAAGCATTTAAATCAGTAATCAGGATGAAATAAATAATGCTCTTATATCATTCTTTCTTCCCGTGTAACATGATAAATATATCCTTTTAGATAAGAATGTTTTCACTTGTGGTGTTTTTTTCTTATTTACCTTATCTCATAAAATGATAAATTATTTTACAACAAATTGCCTATGACAATTATTTAGAAGGCGTATGAATACCGCTTACATTTCACCGACTCGCAAATATGTAAATATTAAACAACAAATATTCTTCGTATGCAGTGAACATTAAACAAAATTACTTGTTAAGTGCGGTAAATACAATGCAATGCAATGTGAAATAAAGTTTATGTTGTTCTTTTTTAACGGCCCTAGGTTTGTAAACATGCTATGGTATGATAATAAGATGAGTAAATATTGTTTTACGTACGCACGTGTTTTAACTATCTGTTATAGTGTAGGCCTACTCAATATAAAGAGAATATAATGATTAAACATGTTACACAAGTGTAAAACCTGTTATCACAAAAACAATATCCTGAAACTGTTGCCAATTTGTAATGATTATAAAGTACCGGGAATTCTCTTTGACAAAATAAATACGATTTGTTTACTAAATTACAAATATATAATAATGCAACGATGTTTAATGCGCATTTGCTTTTGACATAATTTTCTCTCTTCAAACAATTATAGTTATTGCTCACAAAGTGCAATAAAGATCTTCTTTGATATAAATAATATAACATAATTATATAAATAATATCTGTTCACCTTACAGTATACCAAACAAAATTAACAAGATAACAAATGTAAGTGATATATTACATTAAAGAATATTTGAAACGTATGTCTATAAATTGTATGTATAATGAAATATATGTTACGTTATGTTATGCTATATTACTAAGTACATGTTGAAGATTGTTTCAATGTAACTATATATTTGCAGAACATAATTAAGTTTATTCCTATCATTTCTTAACCATCTTTGACTGGCATTGCATGTACTAGTATTTCGTAACCATCTTTGGCTGGCATCGTAGGTGTTTCTTAAGCATTGTTGGATGTCGTTGTATGCGTTTCATAACCATCTTTGGCTAGCATCTCGTGTATGTCATAGCTATCTTTGGCTTGCATCGAATGTTTTCATAACTATCTTTGGTAGACATCGCATGTTTTCATAACCATCTTTTGCAGACATCGCATATATTTCATAACCATCTTTGGCAGACATCGCATATATTTCATAACAATCTTTGGCAGACATCGCATATATTTCATAACCATCTTTGGCTTGCATCGCGTATATTTCATAACCATCTTTGGCTAGCATCTCATGTATGTCATAGCTATCTTTGGCTGGCATCGCATGTTTTCATAACCATCTTTGGCTTGCAACGCATGTATTTCATATTCGTCTTTTGCTAGCATCTCATGTTTGTCATAGCTATCTTTGACTGGCATTGTATGAATTTCGTAACCATTTTTTGGCTGGAATTTATAGCCATTTTGGCTCGCGTGGTTAAATAACCATTCTTGTTGGCATCAAATTATATCACGTATGGCTTGTATTTTATAACAATTTTTGCTTGGCGTCTTATGTATTTCATACCCATGTTTGAATGACATCGCATACATTTCATAACCATCTTTAACTGGAATCACATAACATTTCTTTACCATTTTTGGCTAGGGACGCATGCATTTAATTGCATCGTATGTAAATCATAACCATCTTTAACTGGCATTGCATGTATTTCATTGCATCTTTGACAGGCATCACGTGTGTTTTATAACAATCCACGGTGTAAACTGTGTAACAACCAGAACAGAAATTCAGACAAATTAAAGAAAGCTAGAATTTATATGAAAAATATGTGTATTATATTTATAGACTGACTACTTCACATTATACGATACTGAGAGAAATGTTACCTACTAGCTGAAAAAGATGTATTTTATTCCAATGACGTATGATTTTCATGTAACGGTTTAACTGATAAAATACAAATAGTTTCCTAATCGATGGTCAATCAAAAGGCAAATTACAATGATATCTTAATATTATATCAGTTGAACTTAAGTTTAAGCAATTCAAAACTAGATAAGGTGAATGTTTCACGTTTAATGATCGTATATTATTTTCGTACGCAATTATATTGATAAGAATATACTGGTACAAAAATCATTTTACTGATACGTAAACAACTGCTAGACACTTTCAATATAAATCCTTAATTGTAAATCATTGGATAATCTTTATTTATGGATAATGTTATGATTTCTTTACCAAATTTATTTAAAATAAAGATTTAAATTCATTCCACAAAATATAGTAAAATTTAGTTTTAAAACGCACAAGAAAGCTTTTCATTGTTACTGACAAAAGTCATAACCCTCATTTGAATATTTGTTTACTTTATTTCTTTTACTTCATCTTTAAAAAGCGTTTAATTTTTTGTTGTTGTTTCTTGTTGTTGTTGTTGTTTTTGTTGTTGTTGTTTTTTCTTCTTGCTTTTTTACCTTTTTGCATAAACCGACAAGGTCTGCCTTCTTTGAGCCATGATATTAAAGATATGATATTAAAAGAGAAGACACAGTTACGTCACTGCATGTGGTTATGTGAGATGAATGTAACAGCAAGACTTCCATCGTTACTGTAAGAAGATTTCATGGAATTACTGTTGCTAAACAACAGAAAAAATGATATTTTGAAATAACTAGAATTCTAAAAAGAAAAATTTAAGAGATGTAACATCTGCTCGTGTTTGACGTTATTAAATCATTTTAACTAGTGAATTGCAAATAAAATAAATTGATAACGAACTGGACTAGTGCAAGCAAGTTAAAAGAGAGTTACAAGAAGTATCAAGATATTCATAGTTATAGTAAAATTATACTTTGTATTTCTTAGTGCAAACACAAGCCTCCTTTGAAAATTTCAGTAAATAAAGATAGGTCAGATCAAAAGAATATCAATTTGTCAAATCAAACAAACACTCCCTTTTGAAGTAAATAAGTCATGTAAACTGAAAATTTTAACATACGCGTAAAATAAATAAAAATTCTTGTACGATGAATACAGAACAAAAACGAAATACACTTGCAAGTTTTAACTTGAGAAAATAAGATACTATGATTAACATCAGTTGCAGCGTTTATTTTAAGTTTATCTTCTTGATAAATCAACCAACAAAAAACAAACAAAAAACATAACCAATGTTCAACTTCTCAATGAATTTATTAGTAATTGCTTTCAGTGTTGAATCAGGTAAAACTAAACTTGTAAAATAGTAACGTGAAGAACGAAAATACATATCTTCTGATACCATGCAAGTTTGTGAAGCATTCATTTCAAGTTGTTCTAAATTTAATATCAAAAATTGGTAAATTGTTATGAAAATAAAATTGAATAATTGACAACTTTTTGTTAAAAAAATCATTCTATTCACAATATGTGTAGTAAAAAAGATATCAATATGTTAAATCAAAGATGACAATTTATTTTCAAATTAGAAATATATCTCAAACATAATACGTAAATGTAAATAACGGTAACAAGCATGATTAATGAAGAAAATTATACCAAAATGAACACTTACAGATCAAAAGTAACAACGTTGCAGCATCAGTTGTATAAGAAAAGAAGCCCCTCCCCACTTTTATACTACTAGCATCACAAAATGTATGAATAGGTATGAATAGGTATGAATAGGTATCACTGATGGGTTGCAAATCAATTTAAAAATACATTACCTTTTAGCTAATAAAACATAATCCTTTGATGACACATATCATTATAGAATGAAAGTTTGCCGATAACAAAATTCAACTTAATTTTAAATCAATCGTCATGAAAGTTAATGCCAACAAAATGCATGTTACAATGATATCTTAACATTATATCAGTTGAACTACAGTTTAAGTCATTCAAAAATTAGATAAGGCGAAATGTAAATACGATCGAATATCAAATTGTTATTTACATTTGGAATAAACTTGATTAGTATGATACTGATACAAATATCGTTGCAAAAAGGGAGAGGCATTTGTATACGATACAAATTGTAAATGTATCTTAAAGTAAATTATCTTGTTAATTTTCCATTTATTTTCATTGATTAATCATACATGTACTTTAAAAGAAATGTGTCGTCAGAAAGACTTTTTGTGCATATACGAGTTCATTCTCTCTCCGTTTTTTTTTCTTTTTTTTAGCATTTAAATAGAAACTATATATACAAATCTATATGAATAACGCAACAAATATTGATGTTGATTGTCAATTTATAGATAAATAAAATGCGATACTGAGATTAACTATACTGGGTTATATGTCAAAAGTTGTCAGAGTTCTCAAACATGGTTTGGTAACATAGTTTTTCTTGGTATTTGTAATACCTTGCACATTACTACTCATTTAAACACAATTTTAATGTGAAAATCAGAAGATATAACTGTATGTAGATATAGAATAGGAAATACAGTAAAGCCTCTGTATAGCGGCTGATGTAATGTAATGTAATGTAGAGCGACCCTCTGTAGAACAATATCCCCCTAACAACGACAGTATCATTGTTTTCCTAAGAATGCCCAATCATTAAATTTAGCATACAATTACATTGATTTCTGTTGATAAAGCACATGTCTGGTAAATTTAGCTTTTAAATTATCAGTCACCTTTAGTTTTATCACACACCTGAAACAAAATGAAGAGAACGGAATATTTTTACCTCTTACTAGTTTGAAAATCTTATACTGCTACACACTGAATAGATATTTTGAATATTAAAGTAGCTCTTACATTTGACTAAAAACATTTCGAACTATTTCTCATAGATGTGACCCTTGATATATTACTGCAAGCGGCATGAACTCGAAAAGTTCTTGACAGGTTTTTGTTTCATTTGAAATTTAAAGAAATGAACGCATATTAAAATTGCAGAGCAGAGCCTCGCTGTTTTTTTTTTCTTAGCCTCGCCTGATAAATTTTATAATATCAGACACTAGTATGATATTCTCTATTTATCGCTCTAGAGCAATATCTCTCATAAAAACCCGAATTCTTTGTATCCCAACAGATGTTGCTCTAAACAGGTTGTATAATA